ATAGGTCTATGTTCAGAACATGTTGAAAAACTCTTCATTTTGCAAAAGCCTTCCTGCATTAGAAGAAACTAAGCATTCAGGCCAGATAGTGTAAACAAGCATCCTGGGAATGTTGTACACAATTACAATGTGGGGATTCAACTCCCACTTGTCCTTTATTTTATTATGCTCCCAGTGTCTATGGTTACAAATTAGAACAATTACCTGGCCTGACGAGAGCTCTACTAGACTTGTGATTATAAGGCCTTTTCCTAGTTTGGGCTCCATCTTTAATTGTACTGAGAGCAACTTCACAGGCTCTTTTCAGCCTGGCATAGTGACCTTCAACTCATTCAACCAAACTGGTCACCTCATCCTCCTCAGTGTCCTCTCTGTCCAGAATATCGAATGGCAAATGGGCTCTCTCCCAAACATGAGATAAAAAGGAACATAACTCATTGATGAATGGATGAGACTGATATAACCCAACACCAGCTCATGAAGGTGTTCCTTCCAGCTTCACTTCCTTTGGGGCTTGAGGGTCCTTTGCAAGTCAGGCTCCATCCAATTAAATCTTTCACGCTCAGTGTTTCTTTGCAGGTGATAGGGTGGTGTTTGGCTGTTGGCTATGCCATACAGTTTGCACAATTCAGACATTGTCTCTGACTCAAAACCCCTCCCCTGATCTGAGGATAAATGCACTAGACAACCATAGTACACAAACCACTGGTATATGAGGACTTCAGCCATTGTCCACACAGTCTGGCTTCTAGTTGAATCTGAGACAATGAAGCAGGTAAATATGTTCATGAGAACCAGTACTTCCTTATACCCTTCTGAAGATCTCTCTAGCAGCGTGTAGTCCACCACTAGTATCTCCACTGGTAGTCACGTTAGGACAGGTCAAAGAGGCTCGGGGGAGGAAACACATCTTTGGCACACTATTTGCACTGACAGATCCACGATTGCACTTCGCTACGTATTGTAGACCAGCAATAGTTTCTCATCCCTTAAGTAGGGTTCCTGTCTTCAAAATGCCCACCGTGATCATGCCTAGCTTTCATAAACTTGCAGCACAGTCGCCACCAACCATCACACTTCTTTATCTCAGGGGGTACGTCTACACTACAGCGCTAGTTCGAACTAACTTAGTTCAAATTAGTTAATTCGAACTAAGCTAGTTCGAACTAACGCGTCTAGAACTAAAAACTAGTTCGAACTAGCATTTTGCTAGTTCGAACTAGCGCGTCCACACTGATTGGACGCAGGGGGGCATTTAAGGGCAGCTGAAACCGGTTCTGGCAGGGCATCAGGTCAGCAGTTGCTTTGTGTGGCTGCTGTCTGAGGCTATCTGAGGCTCGGGATTAAAGGGACCCCCCTGGACAGCCGGTTCTCAGCTTTTCCTGCTTGCTTGCCAACCTCGCCGAGGGACAGCAAAGCGTTGGTCTCTGTGCCCGTCTGTGTCGGTGCTTCCCTTCGGGGGGGCCGCCGCAGGTGGCAACATGGAGCCACGGCTCGCCCTGCACCTTCTGGTGCACGTTCTGGACTTGCTGCTGCAAGCCTGCCAGCAATGGCTCGAGGCTGCCTGGCACCACCTGGGGAACGTCAGCCCCCTGCCTCTCCGCCTGGCCGCTCTGGGGGCCATGGAGGAGCCGCGGTGGCGCCCCGGCACCGGCGTGCCCCGCCGCATCTGGCGTCTGGACACCAGCAGCGACTGGTGGGACCGCATCGTCCTGGAGCGCTGGGACGACCGACAGTGGACCCAGAACTTTAGGATGAGGAGGGACACCTTCCTGGAGCTCTGCGAGTGGCTCGCCCCTGCCCTGCAAAGAAGGGGCACTCAACCCCCAGCTCTTGGGGGTTCTGCTCCGAAGGAGGCTCAGTGTGAACAACCCAGAAGCACTGTGGGAGGAGGGGGGTTTCCCTGCAGTAAAGGGACACAAATTGACCTGCCCACATCCCCAGGATGCTGCTGTGTGTGAAACCTGCCTCAGGGAGTGGCAGAAACCTGCGCCCAGGACAGTCCCCAGATGGCAGGGACCTGTCCACATGGGAACCAGGAGCAAAGCCTTGCAGCAGAGATAGGGATTGGGGCATGTTCATGCAGGACAGACCAAGCGCAATGACCATTCGCTTCGAGTCTGGGAGGCTCCAGGCCAGGGGCTGGCTGAGGAGCAAGGCTGGAAAGCAGTGGAGGAGGTTGGGTGAGAGGAGGAGGTTGGGTGGGAGGGGTGGGAATCCCAGAACTTCCTTCTTCTGCCTTCCGAAGCTTTGCTCTGCCCAGCAGGGGGTCCCAGCCCTGTCTGGGATAAGTAGCAAAGGCCCCCATGGCTGCTCCAATGGCCTGAATTGAAATGTCATGAGCGCAGAGCCCTGTGATCTCCCAGCCCCCTGCTAGAACTGCAGTGCCCAGAATGAACAGCTGGGGGCTTGGCAAAGCCACCCTGGGGGTCATGCTGGTCTGTACCAGTGTCCAGTGCCTGCCTTGGAAGAAAGCAGAGATTTGAGAAACACTGCTGTAGATCTTTTTTTTTTTTTTTTTTTAAACTGTTTAAAGCTAAAGTTATTCTGCCTTAAAACAAATGAAGCCTTACATTCCTTTGTCAGTTATCTCAGCAATGTCTCTTTATAATGGAGGAAAAGGTCTATATGGAAATCTATTCATTTTAAAGGTAGTTCAGAACAGATACATAAGCACTTTAGGTAAAACTAAATTATCTAAAAAGTTGCATTTGTGCAGGGCTAGGGGAAAAGCTTGTTCATTACAGATGCCAAGCAAAACCCACCAGTTTTATTCACAGTCCTATTATGAGATTTAAATATGAGTAACTTACATAAAACAAATCGCAAACAGGCTAAACCTAAAACAGCTTGATTTAAAACAAATTGAGTTTAAATTTGTACAATTTTTGACAAACACTGTAAACTTAAGGAGCTACTATCTGTCCATTTGGATTGATGAAGCAAAATTATTTAAAATAGCTTTTGCCAGACTCTCCTTAACAATCTGTAAAGGCGAGATCTGCAATGTGCTCTCCATTCTCATTAATGTCAGAGTTCACTGGGCCTCAGGTAAATGGATCTCAAATATTTTTTGAATTTTACTGATTCTAATGCACAACAAGAGAGACCAGGAGATTAAAAATTGAATTTCTTCACTACCATGTGCCATTTCAGTTGCTGTCATCCAATCAGTCTGCTACATAAACATTCCTGCATTTGGACAATAAATCTGTCTTGATAACTCATTCTAGGGCCTGAAATGTGCAGCACTGGTATTTAGGAAAAACACTTTTCAACTTTGTAAATTGAGTCAATTTGAAATCACAGCCAAATTGTATATATTAAGCAATGCAATCTTAATTGAATGATTAATAGGCAGCAGTGCTTCAGAAGTGATGAAAAGGAGGAGGGGAAAACTCGCCACAAGGCAACATAGGTGGGTATCCCTGCTGCCCAGCCTAAGCTCTCTGGAGTGTCAGGAGCTTGGCCCCCACCTGGGTTCCACATTGCTCAGTTCCTGCCCACAGCCACCTCCCAGGAGCTGCTGCCAGGCCAGGTAGGTGAGCTGGGCCTTCCTCTCCAAGCTGCTGGCACCAGTCCAGCTCATAGAGCACAGAGACCCCCACAGCCAGGAGCCAGCACCAGCTCCCCATGATGGCCTCTGTCCCAAGATGCTCCCTGCCTGTATGCACAGCACCACCAGCACTACCACACACCTACTGCCCCTGCACACTGCCCCACCATATACCCCTACCCCGGTGCACAGAGCCACTACATACACCCTACCCCTACACACAGCATCGCACCCATAGGCATGCACAGCACATTTCATTAGGGTGTGCACCCAAAGAATTTTTTTAAATGTACTTTGACCACCCCCCATTAGTCACATCCCTGTTAACCATGCCTCTGGTCCCCATTAGCCACGCCCCGGGAGGTAACCCTCTCCGGGCAAGATGGGCACATGACCAAAAGTAAAAAGTGTTATGTGACCCCCGACCCAAGGACTTTTCCCACCATCCTCCTACCAATAGGGATTAGTTTGGACCCCTTCAGCTCCCCCATGCAACTATCCTGCAATTGCATTAATCCAATGTGTGTGACATTAATGCAGGGGTGGAGAGGCTGGGGGGGCAGTGTTCCCTCTAAGAGTTTCCTCCCATGAGAAGAATGAATTTTGTGTTGTGCACCAGAACTGAGTTCATGTGGCTTGTTTGGATGTGCCATTGTGGCACCCAAGTTACTAATAAATATCTACCTTTCCCCTTTGCTGCCATGTCTCCTCCCCTTGCTCCATCAACTCCCCTGGTGCCTGCTTCCCCCCAGTCCTCTTCTGCTGTCCTGACTCCTGCCCTTCTCACTGCCCTCAGCTTTCCTGAGACCTGCCCCCCTTCACCGGCCCTTCTCTCCCCCTGTGCCCACTCCTCTGCTTCATCCCCAGAATCCCCTGGCACCTACACCTTCCCTTACCCCTACACCCTCCTGGTGCCTCCCCCTTCCCTCATCGCCCCTGCCCCCTTTAACTTTTTTCCCTGATGCCCATCCCCTCACCACCCTCTGCCCCCATTCCCCTCATGCCCCTGTGCCCTCTCACATGACTTGCTCCAACCCCACCTTCCTCAGGCCTACTCCTTCTGTCAAGCCTTCTCCCAGCACCTCCCCCTCCAATCTTCAATGCCCTTACCCTCTCCTCTTCCAGCATCACCCTGTCCCCCCTTCCACTGACACCTCCCCTCCTGCCCTTTTCCTCATTGTCTCCACTTCACCCTAGCATTTGTGTCTCCTCTACCC